TTACATTATTCAATTAACATTATTAAATATAATGTATATTACACATAACATAATTATACTATTGTTGCAAATACAGTATCCTTTTTCAAGTTACAAAGCACATTTTCATAGTTTCTTCGTTATATATGTAAATTCTAAACATCCTTTCATGAGCCTCCGTGGCGCAGTTGGTAGAGCGTTTGATTTCTAATCCACTCCTAGCTGCGTCTTGCGTTCGAGACCTAGTGATTGTAAATATTTAAATAAATAGCAAAACAAATTTTCTTTGACATGTAAAACATTATAAGTATGTATGACATGCGAGAACAGCGTGGAATATTTTTTATTTTAATTTAAATATTTTTTTAATGACAGATATGAGTAACAGATATTTGTAACTGTTCTAGAACTGTGACAAGTATCTTTGTCACCATGTTACAGATCTGTTACTTAACTGTGACATCCCCCTGATTACGACATTTTGCATACCCAGTGAGTCCCCTGTGAGTCACCAGTTACAGAACATGTTTTTCAATTATTTGTCACAGTTCTGTAACAGATCTGTAATAGTGTTTGCTGGGCTAATAATTACGCACCATTAGGTATATCAACCTAAAAAGAACAATTAAACACTTTTTCAAAATTTGCAATGTCATTAACAGGATTTTATTGTGCCGTATTATCACTAACTATTCTTGCCCCGTGAGCCCATATTTCAGTTTTTTCAAAATTTTGAGGAACAACGTGAATTAATTTGAAAATAAATTCGATATTCGTGTTCAGCAGGAAATTTCACTCCGGAAAACACTTAAGTAAATAAATATTCTGAAACTCTAATATATAGAAAACGCAATATGATAAACATTACCTTGACATTTTAGCAAAACATACTTTTTTCAAAAATAAACTCCTAACTTCGCAAATGGTGACAGATTGCCTTTCAATTTTTACTATCATCTTTTGGTGTCAAGACGCGAATATACCATGAATTACGCAATTTTTGAGCAAGCCGTCTAAGCATAACTGCAACTAACTATCCTTGCCCCATCCTCCCCTACATAAACAGCAATTCCCGCAAAATCGTCGTCAACAATGATTAAAATTCTGAAAATTAAATAATCTTTTTAAAATATTTCAGATTTCTATTTCAATATTATTTTTTAACATTCATATAATTATTAATTATTTACTTCTGTCATTATTAAAAAAATTTATATGAATTTCTTATTATTTTCAGCATTCCACGTTCTGCTGGTAAGACAAACGGCACAACACTACTGACTCTCTGAGCAATTGTTTATAAAATTCAAAAAAATTTATCCGATAAATTACTAACCTATAGGGCATATCACAGAAAAAATTTGGGAATAATTGGACACCATTTTTTTTGGGTGAACTTTTGACGTGATATCCACCATATGGCAAACATATTTTTTAAAAAGTGATTATATTTGCTTGAAAATAGTTACTTAGGGGTTTTTGGGGTCGCTGATTACGAATCTGATATCACTTTTTCAAAATTCAAAATGGCGGATCTAATATGGCGGACAATTTTTTAAAAAGTGATTGGATTTGCTTGAAAATAGTTACTCGGGGGTTTTGGGGGACGCTGATTACGAATCTAACATCAGAACAATATTATGTTTATCGTTGCTCTTACCACAAGAAGGTCGACATGCAGAAAAACCATTTTTTTTCATTTTATTAAAAAATTTTTTTTTTATTTTACCTCGAAAAATATTGCCACTATCATGCAAAGTGCAACAAAAGAATACAAAAATTGTGCATTCAATGAAGCATATATATGCGTCACTTGTTTTCAATAAAACCACATGTAGTGTTAGTCTCTTTTTTATCATTGTATAAAAAATGTCATAATTATATAACTATCATAATTATCGTTGATTCAGATTTAGAAAGCAGAATTAAAATTTTATATTATTTATTTAAACAATATTAAAATATCCAAAAAAAAATTTTAAATAAAAAAAACAACAAAAATTTTTTAAATAAAATAAAAAAAGTAGCTTTCTTGCACGTCGACCTCCTTGTGGTAAGAGCTGGGCAACGTCAATAAAATTTTGTTGACGGCTAACGGATGTGAAGGATAAACATAATATTGTTCTGAAGTCAGATTCGTAATTAACATCCTCAATAACCGCCGAATGACCATTTTGAAGCAAATACAATTACTTTTTAAAAAATTGTTCGCCATATTAGATCCACCATTTTTAATTTTAAAAAAGGGACATCAGATTCGTCATCAGCGACCCCAAAAAACCCCGAGTAACTATTTTCAAGCAAATTTAATCACTTTTTAAAAACATTACCCAAAAATTTTTGTTGGTCTTTTGCATTTTGGAAAAATGGCCATTTTCATATCCGCCATCTTGTATTTAAAAAAAGTAATTATGGATTTTTATAGCTGAGAGTTCGAGGACGCGATATTTTGTCCTTTGGAGACCATATTCTTTAGTTTTTCATGTCAAAATAATAATTGAAAATTTTTTTTTCATAAAAAAGTGTTTTTTGCAATAAAATTGTTATAAATTTTTTTGAGATAATTATAAACAAATTTTAGCTTTATATTCTGAAAGAGCGATAAATTTTACGTCGGAAATGGTATTTCCTAAAATTTTTAACTAATTATTTCATACAAAATAAGAGTCGTGAAATCATGGTACATTTTGCGTCCTGGGGTGCTATTCTGTAACTTCACTTCACATTCACTTCACTTTCACTTCACTTTCACTTCACTTTCACTTCACTTTCACTTCACTTTCACTTCACTTTCACTTCACTTTCACTTCACTTTCACTTCACATTCACTTCACTTTCACTTCACAGTCACTTCACAGTCACTTCACAGACACTCCCCATTAACTTCACATTCACTTCATTTTCACTTCACTTTCACTTCACATTAACATCACATTTACTTCACATTCACTTCACATTCACTTAACTTTCACTCTACATTAACTTCACATTCACTGTGGAGTGAAATTGAAGTGAATGTGAAGTGAATGTGAAGTTAATGTACAGTGAAGCGAAGTCAATGTGGAGTGAAAGTGAAGTGACTGTGAAGTTAATGTGAAGTGAAAATGGAGAGTAAAAGTGATAGTGAATGTGAAGTAAAAGTGAAGTGAATATGAAGTGAATGTGAAGTGAATGTGGAGTGAATGTGAAGTGAATGGGGAGTGACTGTGATGTGAAGTGAAAGTGAATGTGAAGTGAATGTGAATGTGAAGTGAATGTGAAGTTAATGTGGAGTGAAAGTGAAGTGACTGTGAAGATAATGTGAAGTAAATGTGAAGTGAATGTGAAGTGAATTTGAAGTTAATGGGGAGCGAATGTGAAGTTTATGTAGAGTGAAAGTGAAGTGAATGTGAAGTTAATGGAGAGCGAATGTGAAGTTAATGTAAAGTGAATGTGAAGTGAATGTGAAGTGAAAGTGAAGTTAATGTGAAGTAAATAAGGCGTGGATGTGTAGTTAAATTTTACGTCGGAAATGGTATTTCCTAAAATTTTTAACTAATTATTTCATACAAAATAAGAGTCGTGAAATCATGGTACATTTTGCATATTCTGTAACTTCACTTCACTTTCACTTCACTTTCACTTCACTTTCACTTCACTTTCACTTCACATTCACTCCACTTTCACTTCAAATTCACTTCACTTTCACTTCACATTCACTCAACAATCACTCAACAATCACTTAACATTCACTTCACATTCACTTCACGTTCACTCCACAATCACTCAACATTCATTTCACATTCACTTCACATTCACTCCCCATTAACTTCACATTCACTTCACATTCACTTCACATTCACTTAACTTTCGCTTTCACTCCCCATTAACTTCACATTCACTTCACTTTCACTTCACTTTCACTTCACATTAACTTCGCATTAACTTCACACTCACTTCACATTCACTTCACATTCACTTCACATTCACTTCACATTCACTTCACATTCACTTCACATTCACTTCACATTCACTTCACTTTCACTTCACATTCACTTCACTTTCACTTCACTTTCACTTCACTTTCACTTCACTTTCACTTCACTTTCACTCCCCATTAACTTTACATTCACTCCACATTCACTTCACATTCACTTAACTTTCGCTTTCACTCCCCATTAACTTCACATTCACTTCACTTTCACTTCACTTTCACTTCACATTAACTTCGCATTAACTTCACACTCACTTCACATTCACTTCACATTCACTTCACATTCACTTCATATTAACTACACATTAACTTCACTTTCACATCACATTCACTTCACATTCACTCCCCATTAACTTCACAGTCACTCCCCATTAAATTCAGATTCACTTCACTTTCACTTCACATTCACTTCACTCCCCATTAACTTCACATTCACTTCACATTCACTTCACATTAACTTCACATTCACTCCACATTCACTTCACAATCACTTCAATCTCACTTCACGTTCACTTCACATTCACTCCGCTTTCACCCCAATTTTATTAAATACGTTTGCACATACCTTGGAATTCTTTAAATTGAAGTATATCTCTTAAATGATAGGTTGATTAATCAAATTTAATGGATTATCAATTAGATAAAAATTATCTATTATTACAGGAATTAATGAGTTTCTGCTCTCTAATTACATCGTCGTAAATGATGTGAATTTTAAAAACACGTCATTCATGATGCTTTAATTGTTGGTGCGTTGCTCGTTCTCATTAAAGCAAATGAAAAACTTAAAACTGTTTTAACACTTTCTGAAAAATTAAATCTTAGATAATTGAATTAATTGTTGTAATGTGACTTTTCTAAAGCATTTAGCTGATTCGAATAGAAAATCAGTGAATTTTCGCTAAATCATTAAAGAGAGTTGGTTTTTGTATTAAAAAAAGGGTTTTAATATTTTATTTATTTTGAAAAATGCAATAATAATAGAAATATGATTAAAATACAAATCTATTTATAATTATAGATTATTATAACTAATCGGAAAAAAGAATTAAATAATGGAGTCCTTTCTGTTTGCAAGAACTTTCAAAGAGCCCGAAATTTCTTTCAAAATTGTTGATTGTTCTTCGTGCTGCTTTTTTTTAAATTCAAACTTCCTCTTTCTCAATTCAATGTCTTGGCGTTTGAGGTCTAATTTCATTTGCATTATTTGTAATGCTGTTTTATCTGTAGTGAAATAACAATCTTTTAATATGTTTAATAATTCAACAAGAAATAATAAAATATTTAAAATATTGATGTTATAGTCAGGGTGACCAGGAGTCAAGGAATTAAGGGAATTTTTTAGTCAGTGAAAAATCAGAAAAACAGGGAATTTGAGCAAAAGTCGGGAAACTTTTTTAAAATGTCCCAATATAATTTCTTTTTACGAATTTAAATATTTTCCTTCATTGATCAAATTTAAAATAAAATTTATAATAATAAAGAAAATGTTTTTTATTATCTTAAAAATAATTTATTATTGAAACACTTTTCTTTTAATATAAAATAGTTTTCATAAAAAAATCAAAATTTTTTCTTCAGTTTCGCTAGACATTCTGTTAGTAATAATTTGGATTTATAAAATTGACACCTGTTCTGATTTCAAAACCTACCTTTCACTGAAAAATTCTGCTGTTCTTGGTATTTTACTTGTTCAGTGACGCTGCTTGTTGGATCTACAAAAATATATAAATTGATAATATTTGGTTAAAATTTTTATTCTTATTTTTAAAAATAAAATGTTAGATTTTAAAACTGACTAGGAGATCTTTGAAATAAGTAAAAAGTTTATTATTAAATTACAAATTTTTTAGCTAGTTTAAAAAAAATATATATATATATATGAGCGATTCCATGTCAAGTGATCAAGGTGGGAAAAAATTTTTCTCCAATCGTGCCTAAACTTGGGGCTTTTGTAGTACTAGTGGATAGTGATTTTTGGTGAAATTATTTTTTTACCTAGTCCAATATTTTCCGAGTGAGTGCTAGGGGGGGCTACATGGTCATTTTCCGTAACCGTTTTAATAGGGTTCCTACCGGGTACGGAACCCTAAAAAAATCGTATCTTTCCCCCCAAAAAATAAAATTTATTTTTCTGTATCCCTTTGCCGAAAGTACTGTCTTCCCGGTCTGATTTGGCTCCAGGAATAGCGACTTTTGTGGCCGGCTCGACAGACCCAACGAGCGCTCTGATTTTTTTTCAAAATGCTTATTTCCAATCGAAAGAGCATGAAAAAACCTTTCGAAACCATACTTGGCCAAATTTTTACGTTTAATTGTTTAAGAGTAAAAAATTATCAAAATAAACATTGCAGCGTAAGACCCCTTGATCATTTGACGTGGAATCGCTCATATATGTGTGTGAGTGGTACGAGCTAGTATCCAGTGTCTAATGTATCAATTGGAGGACATGAAATAAAAGTTATTGTCTGTTTTGGAAATCAAACATCACCTTCCAATTTGATCTTTTTTTCACAAGCACCGGATTTTATTCTTTTGCGTTTTTCAGTTTCCATTTTCACGGCTGTTGTTGTAGGCAACACTATAAAATTAAAGATCAAAGAAATATAAGTGAATTAAAATTTCTTTTACAGTACAGTTATATTCTTCAATATTGTATTCAATTAATTTATAAATAAAATTAAACAGTAATTTTTGTAACAGCTTTGTAGAAAACATTGGATTTGTGGTAAATAATATTTGAAATTTACTGAAAAAATTATTAAATTTAATAGGTTTTTTACCTGAATTTTAAAAATATTTTTTTTAATTTATAAATAGCAATAGATTTATAGCACACAATTTAGTTGAATAAATAAATAACCAAATAATAAAAAAATAATGATAATAACCAAATTAACTTATTATAACTTATAACAATAATAACCAAATTAACTTATTTTTATAAATGTCAATTTAAAGCCATTTTACTTAAAATATTTATTTCTAATTTTCTGTAAAATAATAAATTAAAAAGAATACCTTCATTATCAATTTCTCTAAAAATTTTCTTCATCTCTACATCATCTTCGTCATGCAATTCTCCCTCACTGTCATGCAATTCGCCGTCACCTTCTTCACTGTACTCTTCCCCCTCATTCTCCTCATCCTCGCTTTCCTTTTCCTCTTTGACATCCTCCTTTTCCAATCTTTCCACATTTAGAACTTTTTTCTTTTTACGTTCCTTTTCTTCGTCAGTTTTAACTTCCACAGAAATCTGAAATTGATTTTAATCAAAATAATAAAAATACAATAATAATAAATTTATTATTATTATTTTATTTTTATTGTTATTAATTTTTAATTGTTACCTTGTTAACTTGTTTATTCTTTGTTTCATTCTTTCCGAATCCTAATTCTGGCACTTCTTCCAATCCAAAGCCTTCCTCAGGTAATATGTTCTTTATAATCAATTCTTCAATGTCATTAAACTTCACTGTAACTTTTTCTTCTTTTGCAATTTGTGCTCTTCTTTTTTCTTCCTTTTCTCTTGTATTTCTTTTCAAGTCGGCCCAAGTCTATAATTTATAACGATTTATAATTATAATGAATTTATTTTTAATATAAATAATAAGAAATAAATAAAATAATGTATTAACTTTTTATTTTAAATTACATTATTATTCTACAAATTACATGTAATACAAAAATATAAACATATAAAATATTTGAATATAAGTATACATTAAATTAAAAGATAATTTATATTTTGTATAAATAAAAAATATAAATAAAGTAGATTATTCTCACCCTTTTCCAGTTTTCTTCATTTTTTACTGCACCGTTTTTGACAGCGTTTAAAGACAATGTCAGACGATCATAAAGTTTATTCTGTAAATTTTTTTAAATATATTTTTATAAAAGACAGATGCAAAATGCAACTTAGCAAAATTTTTTTTAATTATTTTGCTAAAAGCATGTTTATAATATAATTGTCTGTCAAAATAAAATCATAAAAAATTTATCGCAATGCAACTAAAATTTTACCACTTTTGTCCTGTAATTGTTTCCAGATAATTTCCCAGTTGCAAGTTTTTTATGTGACAACATAAAATTGACAAGTAACCTTTTTTGTTCATAAGTACACTGTTTTTTTACCTTTGACATTTTGAAAGTCAAATTTGTAATGACAGCTCTTTTGTTAATGGAGTGAACATTATTACATAACAGTCTTTTATTGGTTAAAAAATATGTATAATTTGTTTTTAAAAGTTTTTCGTAGTGCAATCGTTTAAATATTAATTAAAATAATCTTATCTGTTAGATAAATATTCATAAGTAAAATAGTTTGCCTTAAATATTGTTTATTTAGAAGTTAGGAATTCCTTATTGTTGTTTTTAAATTTGTTCGATCCTTACCGTAATTTACGTAGAAATAATAAATTCAATAGTTGAAATAACATTCAAAATGAATGATTATTTTTTACTGCAAGAGGTTGAACGAATAAATAATAATGCAAACAGAGAACTTAGAGCAACTAGGAGAAGCTTACGAGATACACAAGATCCCTTTGATTTACGAGAAAATGAATTTCGAAAAATTTACAGGTATCTTAAAGGTTATAAATTGCAATAATGTATTAAATAAAAATTTGTGAAATAAAATTTTTTTTAATAATTGTAGAACAAATGTTTAATTTTCAGATTAAAAAACTTTTGTTACTATAGCATCCTTTTTTAACAATTTAATGATTCGAATATAAAACTATTAAGTTAATTTCAATCATAAGGTTGTCAACATATTTTTCTTGAAATTTACTTTTAATTCTCAAGTAAAAATGATTGCACGGAAATTCTTTTGACTATTTTTTAAAAATTTTCGGTCAAATTTCCGAACGAAATTCTAGCAAATTACTAACGAATTAATTTTGGAAAATTTAAAATAATTCTGCACGGAAATTCGTATAGAATTCCGCATGAAATATGATCAAAAAACTTTTTTAACAAAATTTTAGGTCTAATTTCAGAACGAAATTCGACCGAATTACTAATAAATTTTTTAGGAAATATTTTTGAAAACTTCTACACGGAAATTCGTATAAAATTCCGCATGAAATGTCAGCTAAAATTTTTTTACAAAAATTTTCGGTCAAATTTCCGAACGAAATTCCAGCGAAATACTAACGAATTTTTTAAAAATATTTTAGAAATTTTTTTTAGAAAATTCTATACAGAATTTGGTTGGACTGTTTGTACGAATCATTTTACGTGGGTAAAAATATGTAGTATAGCTTTAATTAAAAGGATTAATTGATATATGTGGGTTGAAAATATCACATATTAATATTTTAGATTGCCTAAAATGGCCGCAAGAGATTTTGTTGATGAATTGCATCCATTTATGCCAGAAACGCAAAAAGTTACTGCGATTTCTTCCGAAATTCAGGTATATCATTTATTTTTTTATTATTAGTACAAATTTAAGTATAAAAATTATATGTGGACGTCCATATGAAAAGGGTCCATATTGTCGGTTCTAGTTTTCGATATAATCGCAATTTAGTAATTTTTAAGCAAAATATTAATTTTTTTTTATTTTTTATTATCAATCTACATATTTTGACAAGTCGAATCATGCGGTTTTCATTAATTTATCAATAATTTAACTGTTGGATTTCATTGGTTCTTTAAAAAAATTAAAAGGGCCCATTTTGTCGGTAATTTACAAAAGTAATACGTATTTTAAAAATGGAGGTGTGGAAAAATTTAAAACCTCTTGATTTTTCATCCCTAAGGTGTCCTGGACTGTAAACAAATCTTGTCTGAATAACTTCCCAGAAGAACCAGAGATATTTATGTTAGAGTCTTTTTTTCGTAATTGTCGAAATGAAAATTTGGATATTGCGTCAATTTTTTCATAATAGAGACTGTCAAAAATTTTAAATAAGTTTAATATCTATTCTTTTTCTTTAAATGACACAATAAAATTGTACCTAATCATTAATCTTGTATAAAAATGGTTTTTTAATAGAAAAACTGTCCTATTTAGGAAATAGGGCCCATATTGTCGATTTTTCGTATTTTCCAAATTAAAAGGGGGGATGGTTTTAAAAATTTAAAACCTGTTGATTTTTTATCTTCAAGGTGCCCTAAACTGTAAACAATTCTTATCCGAATAACTTCCAAGAAGAACCAGAGATACAACAGTTAGTTGGTATCGCAATTTTTAATTCCGTTTTTCTCGAAATGAGGTTTCTGGCGTTCTAAACTTTGAAATTCCGGAACTCAACGAATTTTTAACCAAAAAAGTTCTAAGACCACTTAAAATTTTCCAAATTTTGCCAGGAATACGCTCATAAAATAGATAACTCCAATAGTGCCAAAATAGGCCCTTTTCATGTGGACGGCCACAAATAACTATACAAAAAAATACAACATAATTATAAAAATATTGTATTCAGTTCAATTTTGTCAGGATTCATCATACATATTATGTGCACAGTCCCTATTATGAGCTTAAATAACATATTTTTTATTTCTTGTTTCATATTACATACTCTCTAAACCTGAATTAGTAGTTTTTTACTAATGAAATAGTGCGGATTCGTTTACCAATTGAATTAGTAACTGTTTTTACTAATTTTTAGTAGTTTTTTACTAATTATTAGCAGAAAATTTACTAATTTGAAATAGTAAAAAATACGTTCTACTAATTGAATTAGTAATTTTCTACTAGCAATTAGTAAAAAACTACTAAAAATTAGTAAAAAATGTTATTAATTCAAATTAGTAAACGAATCCGCACTAATTCAGATTTAGAGAGAACCTAATATATTCATGATATCACATATTGTTTGAGAAATTTTATACATTTTATCTTAATTTAAACCAGTGATAAGTACACAGTAGTATGAAGTGAAAAATTAAAAATAATTGAAAAATTTTAACTTTCCACAAGAAAGGCTAAATTATTAATTCTTTTGAGTTCTGTTTGTGTCCTATCCCTATGTATTCTTTAATCGGGATCAAATTTCTTGAAAGTGAATTTCAATCAATTCCGTTTTAGTATTTCCCTAATTTTTCAATTCTTTTGAATTCCAAAATACTTTCCGGTAAATGCAATACCTGTCAATTCCGTTTAACTCTACGGTAAGTACTTTTAGAACTACACGGAGAAAAATGGAGTTTGAGAAACTGGGAGTCAATATTGAAAAAACAGGACTCAGTCCAGTAAAAGTACATTAATTCATTTCCATCAAGCATCTTAGGGTATTGCGTATAGTGTATAGAGGGCCTTAATTCCAAATGTTACTGTAATCAGCATTGAAACACAGGCGAAGATTATAAGGCGCGCTGCAGTGTGCATAGTAGAGAAACTGGACTCAGTCCTCTACTTCGAAATTTTCACAATAAGGGAACGCAGGCGCGGAACCTGTCAAAATAAATGGCCGACGCGACGCGAAACGAGTGTTTCCTTTTATTCACTTCGTCAATTTTATATAAAAAAAACAATAACCAATCATTAAAAAAAAGAAAAATATGTTAAATGCACTCTTTATATATTCATATTCATTGATTCACAAGTTTTATTCTTCCCACATCTTCATACTTACAATTAACAACTAAATACATCGGAAAATCTTACAATCATACGGGATTGAACACCTACCTAACCATACAACTAAATATACGCATAATTATAAATCGCACGCTTTTACATTAAGCCTCTCGGCCACGCAATCGATGGGGGAAATTTCCTATTTAAGAAACATCCCTTACCAATGAAATAAATTAGATCATAAGTGAATTTTACTTTGTAAATAATGTAAGTATGGATGTCAACAATATTCATAATATTGAATAAATAAAATTGTCAACTAGTTTAAATTTGATACGGTTATTAGAATTTAATAATAAATAAATAAAAAACATTAATTTTTTCTTAACCTTTTTCAAGTTTGACACTCCTTATGGTAAATTTGATAATTCTTTTTTTCCGTGTACAAAATAGTTAATTGACCTTGAATGAAATGTATAATTAATTATTCTCACAGCAATATTTAATAATTTAATTGACTTAACTGCACTGCATAATAGTTGAGAGTAGTAAGAGTAAGTGAAACGGTAAGATAAGTGAACGACCATTAGTGTGAGAGAGAGAGAATAACTTGTGGTTTTCGAGTAGGTATCTACTTTATGTGCACGGCGTTCATTCATCGAAAGAACTGGACTGAGTACTAGTTGTTCAATATTCGCTTCTATTATTGACTTGTGTTTTGTACACTGCCGCGTTCTTTCAACAATTACATGAGAAAGTAATTTCTCATTCCAATTTTTTATACTCTTATTCCCTCTGAGACTATATAAACAGTATTTTTTAAGCTGATGAATGGGATAACTTGTATTGAGTCCCAAAGTGTTCAGCTATGAAACATCTAATACTATAGTGTGTACCTGTCACATATTATTGTATACAGGAGTACTACACTGACTGCATAAATCATTTTTCCATTTTTCTCCGTGTATGTATCTATATGTGCAGTTGATACAGCTGAGCGAAGAGAGTATTCGGCTCCGAAGCTGGAAATCGAGGGTTCAAATCTTCGGACCGACAATTTTTTTTGCGAAAAATATTAAAACGGTATTGAAAGGAATTAATTTTTTTCGGACTCAACAAAAAAATTTGAAAGAATAAGACAGAAACGAAATTTAGAAGACTAAGAACTTCGCATATGCACGTCTTCGGCGTGCTCTTGCTCCGTTTCGTTCTTCGAACATTGTGCTCGTCAGTATGGAAATCCACCCGTGGTGTATACGATTTTTTATGCTCGAAGCCTCTGATTTTGTTCCTGAGAAACGGGGTTTAAAAATAGAAGTTATGAGGTTCAGTTGACCTGAAAGATAAATAATCTGTCCCAGAGTTTTATTTACCTGTCTGACAAACCTAACCTCAATAATATCTTTACAATATTACATATTATACGAAAAGCATTTATATATGTAAACTTGAAAATTATGTCTGGGTGAAATTTTTTTTGAAGTAAACCGGGCAAAGCTTTGAATTTTCTGGGAGTTGACTTCCGGAAAACTCGGAAATATTTTGACGTGAAATTGTATATTGCTGTACAGTTTTACTTTCTTACGATTTAGATATTATCTGCCATCAA